ATGTATGAAGACACTTAACTTTCTTGAAGGGTCAGAAAGTAGTGCTTTTATAGATATTTTATATGTATAAATTATTATAATAAAGACTACTCTATTGCTAATAAATGTTATTTATAGTAGTAAGAACTAATAGATATAATAGATATAATATATATAATAGATATGATAGAACTAATAGATCTAGTAGAAATGATAGATCTAATAAAAATGATAGATCTACTAGAAATGGTAGAAATGATAGAAATGCTAGATTTCCAGTACAGTAATTTGAGCCAATCAGAATCAAGTCACATGTATCATAATTAGTGCCTTTCATCAAAATTGTCCTGATCTTATGATCCCATAATTAGAATCACAAGATCTTGTACTTGTTAGAATCATCTCAGTGAGCTGAATTCAATAGTGGTTGTTTTATCCAAATTGGTTTGGTACATCAAAAGTTATGGTCAATAATGTGTAAAACTCTTAATGTTAATAGTATTAAATAGTTAGTATATTTGTATAGAAAGAAGTTTTTGTATTGAATAATATGAATAAACTAAGAAGTTTTGCTAAGAATTTTTTCAAGTATAGGTTTAGTTAAGCCTTTGACATCTAAAAAAATTCCTAGATATCTTATTATTTCATCAAGATTACAAGATAAAATTGGTTCATTATTAAAATTTAGAGGTATTATATTTAAAGTGTTATTGAATAATATTTTTTTATTAGGTGGGATATGAATAAGGTCTGATTTGGATGAGTTAACTTGAATATTATTTAGTTGATATAGTTTAGATATGTCATCTAGGATCTTTTGCAGATCATTTTTAGATTCACAATGCCAGACAGTATCATCTATAAAGCCAAGAAATAATATTGTTATATGAGTTGGTGTAGTTGAAAAGATTGTTTCTAAGAGGGATTGTAATGATATTTTGAGAAGTTTTGAACTGTATTTTGAGTTAATATAATTAAAAATAGAATCATAATAGATTTTTCAGAATAATGAAGAGTAGGTTTCTCCTTGTTTTATGCCTGAATAAAGTATGATTAGGTCAGTAGGGCCATAGGCTGTAATTGTTCTGGCTTTTCTATCTTGGTATAAATATTTAATAAAATTAAGTCCAAATTGGGGAATGCCAATATGTTTACAAGCATCTAGTAGATGTTTAATATTAATTTTATCAAAAGTTTTGAATATGTCTTGAAAGAGTATTTATGTTTCTTTGTTGTTAGTTTTGTAATATTCTATTATATTAATTAATATTTGTATAAGAATGTGTATAGAACTGTTTTTGGTTGCTATAAAATTAAGATTATTTAGTAGGTAATGTTGATTAATAATTTGATTGAAATGTGTAGTAAAAATTTTTATAAGATATTTTTTGATAGATTCAATGAGAAAAATTGGTTTGACTTGATCTAAAATAAAATCCTATGTAGATTTTTTTGGTATTAAAAAAATATTAGATGTTTTCCATATTGTTAGTATTTGTTGTAATAAAAGACATTTATTAAAAATAGTTAAATAATATTTTGAGCTTTAGTGTTTAGATATTTTAAATATTCATAATTTATTTCTGATGGGCCTACAGCTTTTTGGTTTGAAAGGTCATGTATGACTTTGTTCTATTTCTCTAAGATGATTTCTAAAAATAGATTGTTAAAGAGAGGTTTATTTTTTGAATAAGATTTGTAGAGTTTATAAAATTTTGAGTTTTTTTTTATTGATATATATGGTAGTTTTTTAAAGTAATCTTGAAAGTGAGATTGTAAGACTTGTTTTATTTCAGATAGTTGAGCAGTGAAAGTATTATTAGATAATAAACAGTCTAAGTTGATACTGTTATTTGGTTTTTCTAAAACATTTCAAAAGAAATTTTTAGGTTTTGATAAAAGTTAACATTTCTTTCTTCCAGTTTATTTTGAATTTCTTTTAGAGTATTTCCTTGTTTTTATTTATAGATTTGTATTTTAAGAGTTTTTATTTCTAAAGAAAATGCATTCTGTGAAATTTTGCCTTTGTTGATCAGTATGAAAGTTGTTTTAACAGTCAATATCTGCACTAATAATAACCTGGCAAATGGCTCATTGGGAATTCTTTGACAAATAGTGTATGAAAAAAATTCTATTAACATCTCATCATCTCGTCATAATTCTGAAAACACCACCAAAATTCATTATTATTGAATTAATTGGTAAAGCGCCTGGTGATTATGAAACACTTTCATCTAATCATTTGCCCATCTACCCCATTAAATGTCATTGCATACACACTGTTTGGAAACGCGATGGATCTAAAATTCGCAGGAGATTTCAATGTTTTAAACTTCTCTTAACGTCTACATTCACATTCACAGACTTTAAAGCCCAAGGACGTACTCTCGAAAAAACTATTGTTGACCTATCAGGAAAGCATACAAATAACAGCATATATGTGATGCTTTCCAGAGTACAAAGACTAAATGATTTGCTGATTTTAAAGCTGTTTGATGAATCTGCATTAGACATGCGATTATCACCTGTACTTAGTGCAGAATTTAAGTGTATCGAAGAACCGATCAGCTAAAAGCTTGGCCAAATGCTTTTTAATATAATTAAAAATATGTAGCACTACTCATAATTCTTACTTCCTGTAAAAATAACATTATTTCATTCTGCTTTATTATAATTATTCAAATAGATTTTACTTAATAAATTTTTAATATGAACTTTTTTTTAACAAGTGCAACTAACAATTACAGCTTCATAGCCTAATTTCGGTTCACTGTTAAATAAATCTAATGTTAATAACTACGTTGTAATGTATAACCTTTAATATATTAACTATAATTATTAAAAGATAATTATTGTCACAAAGTTAAAAATAGCGAATATTACTGTTACCTTGCCCGAATGGTTATTCACTTTTACAAAAGACTGACTTTTGTTACTTATTTACACTTCATATTTTACCAATTTCTTGATTGCATAATTTGTGTACCACCTATTACTATGCTACCTTTTACTTTAATAAACTCTTAAACTTTACTAACCTACTCATCATTGCCACGCTGATCAACAATCATATAACCTATCACACTGAATACTACTAGTGTCCCCAAAATTATGCTACTATTATAATTTTAATCAAATGCTCTATCACAAAACGCGATGGTTTCACCTTTTGTTTTACCAATTCGATTATTTCGTTACAAAGTTTATTTCAATTACATTGTTCAAAAACTATGCAACGACTATGTAAAAAATTTAACATGCTTAAAAATATCGTAAACAAACATATTAATATTAAAAACTGAAATCGTTTAATTACTTGAAACTTGCCTCATATTCTCTTATTAGTCGTTAGTTTCGCATAGGGATGGGAATCGATTTTGAAATCAAAATCGATTTTATAATCGGATAACTTAACCGATTAATCGATTAATCGG